AAACAAATAACAATAATTAAAATAATTAAAAGAATCATCTTTTAAAAAATCGCTAACTCGAAGAATTTTTCTACCGAGAATTTTCCACTTACTGTTATTGAAATCAATAAACGATTATCAAATTTTGCATATTTTTATGGGCTTTAATGCGATACTGGTATTCAGGAATTAAAGAAGTTTGACTATGAAAGTTTTTTATTTTTACTAAACTTGCTTTCCATCATATTGACATTTTGTTCATTTTTATACATATAGAGCGCTGGTTGAAGAATGACGAAACTTAATCTAAAAGGCGTAAAAATAACTGTTCGAAATTCTCAGCAACTATATAATTAACTTATTATTTGTTTAAGAGCGTCATTTAACGAAAAGGTAAAAGTCTCGAAGAACAGTTTTAATATCAAGTTATTAGCGAATTTACTCTTAATATAATTCTAAAGATAATCTTCTTCAAGGTACTAATCGGATTTTCTGATTACTACGATTTAGTAACCTATTCCCTGTGGTTTTTCCTCTTGGTTAAATATTCAGATTATTCTACCAGAGTAAGCAATATTAACTAATCTTACATAAATATCGGATGATATTTTGGAATAGAATATTTTTTCATCTTCTTTCATCAGTGTGTAAGACAGAGCTAATTCATCCGTTAATCTCCTCGCTTCAACTATTACAGCATTACATGACAGAAAATGAACAAAATATGAAAAAAATGTATTATTATGGCGATATTATTAAAAAATTAGAATAAATCAAATTAGAAAGTTATTTCTTTTGCCAAATATATTAATGAATCATTTTTTAACCAAAGCAAAATTACATATTTATATTTTAGATAAAAATCAGTTTGCTCTTGACATTCAAATGGGAAAATGTAAGAACATGCGTTTTAAAAAAGATACATTTAAAGAGGACATACTTGTATTTATAATTATGCCGAAATGAGTGATCATTCTGATATTCTATGTATATTTATATAGTGTATTGATATGCAAAATAAAAGTTATATATATACTTTTAATAGGAAATGTGAGTGTGTGTATTTGATTTTTAAAATTATAATTTCTTATGTAATTATATTGAAAATTACTTTACCTACACTTTATTTTTTAGCCGTCTTTCGATTAAAAAATTATTGTTATTATCGAATTCTATTTTACCACTAGATTCTACTTTAATAAAAGTTATAAAACATCAAACAAAAATTGTGTTAAAAAAATAACGATGTATGCAATGTTAAAAAAAGTGTTCTCTGTTATTTATTTATTTATTAGCTACAAACTGAAACACAATGCTCCTTGCCATGATGAAACGTGAATAATGAAAACCAATAAAAGTTAAAAGCAAATAAAATTACTACTGTTGTCGAAAACCTAATGGAGGATAAACAAAAGAAAGATCACGACAACTCAAAACTGGAGGATTTAGATTTATTAACAAGGACCGCTATGACGACGGCCTGGAAATCATACTTAATGGCGAATCGTACGCAATACTGCCGCATCCACATAATACACTTTGAAAATTCAGATCGGGCACCCGACCTCCTCATCATACTTTTCAACCACCAAACCGTGCACGGACTATTTCGGCTCTAAAACTGTTTTGAACATTGCCTTATTGTGTATTCCGAGTCACTGACATAATCGAAAAATGCTTAATTTGATCAAACCCCCATCTTTTTGACTCAGATTATATTTACTGCAGATCATACGCAAGAAAATCCGCATTAATATAAATGAAACGACACTGGATGGAATCAAGATATAATGTGCGAAAAAGAATTTTGGAATCACCGAAATTAAACTTATCTCTAAGGTATCAACAATATTCGGCAATCGACGACTAACCCTAATTACCTAGTATAATTTAGGACGAATTACGAATATCTGCTCTTCTATCAGGGATGAGATTTTTCCGCTTTTTAGCGGATTTCCGCTTTTTTCACTTTCATCTCTTACATTTCAGCTTTTTTTTTTATCAAAAATTCAGATTTTCTAAAAATTTCATTTTTTTATAAGTATTCCGCTTTTTCAGAAAATTCACCGATTTTCAAAGAGAAATAGAAAATTCAAACTACATAGCTACCAATCCTTTATCATTTTTACTTATTTTACCTATTTTCTCCCCTTTTACTACAGGCAGCAAATAAGATTTTCCGAATTTTTTACCCACCCTCCAGATAGATCCGATTTTCGTAGTTCAAACGGCGCTGCTTCTGACAAGCCTTTTAGAGGTCCCAAACCTGGAATCTGCTAATATCTCGATTCTTATTCACATGATTTTTATATCAAGCATAGCTTTTCATTTTTGCGTGTTGCGATTCTTATTCACGCGATTTGAATATTGTACGTTGCGATTCTTATTTACGAGATTTAAAAATCCGATATTGTGATTCGTATTTACGTCTTTTTAAAAACCTATGTAGCGATTCGTATTCACGCAAGTTTAAAATTCAATGTGTTGATTTGCTCATGCGGTTTATAATATCAAACATTGATTTTCGTATTTATACGTGATTTTAAAATAAGGCATTGGGATTCGCATTCACGCATTCTAAAAATTATGCATCATAATTCTTATTTATGCAATCTAAAAATTACGCATCATGATTCGTATTTACGCGATCTAAAAATTATGAATCGTGATTTGTATTTACGCGTTTTAAAAATTCTATATCCCAGTTTGTATTTTCTCATTTTCAAAATCGTATATCTAGTTTCATATTCATGTGATTTCAAAATCCATAATTGTTATTCATATTCACGCAATTTTAAGATCAACTATCGCGATTCTTGTAAGAAGTAAATTTTTTTTTAAATATTAGTTACTATAAAGGTGACTGTTTTTCTAACGACGATTATTAGTATATGTAAGTGTTACAACATCAGAGAAACTGGAAGGGAATATATTCAAAACTTACATTCTGTGCTTGCAAAGAAGAAAAAATAGGATTTGTCACAAGATGTTTGAAGATGGACTAACGACTAAATATAGCAAACATAAAAGATATAGCAAACAAAAGCAATCACTTAAAAAGGGATTTAATTAAAAAAAAATTTGGGGGGAAAAAGAGTTAATTAACTAATCATCAAAATTTTATTTATAATTGCTGTTATTTATGCTATAAAATGCAAAATTCTTATCAAATAAAAAACAATTATCTAAACAGTTGCTGATTGTCATGTAATTTTTCAAACTAAAATAGCAATTTTTGTATGTTAAGGAGTTACTATATATTTCTACTTCACTGTTATTGATATGTTTCAGAGGGCTGTAGTTAGATTAGACTATAATATGAACATAATGATTCGGTCCATTGTTAAAGTTTTTTTTTCCAATATAATTTAAAAAGTAATATTACTGATATATTTGCTATAAATCACATAACAGTATTTATTAAAAGAAATGAAATATTAATGTATATTCTCAGTAGTTTTAATTTGCTAAACCAGGTAGTTTTTCAAGTAATAATTGTCTCTTATGTGAACTGAGGAAAAATATAATTTCCAGCTTTTTTTTTTCAATTGGTAATTTTTATTTTCACTAAATGTTAAGTATCAATGTAATCATTTATATAATAATAGATTAGTACCAATTGTATGTCAACACATTATTTATTACCTTAAACTGTCTGAAATTTATTATTAAAGAGTTGCGCTTGCGTAAAATTTACTATCGTGGAAATTCAGCTTTTTTGCGTTTTGGCTAATCTCATCCCTGTTCTATCTAAATTAATTACGCTACTTAACTAAAAGTGAAAGATAGAATAACAATGTATTCAATTTTACATTGTGTGCACATATTCTATCGTGAATGACCGAAATCAGGAGAATGTCGACTTTCATCGGTGAATGTCAACAATCATATAGTCCCTTTGGTGACTGTCAAAATATTTGTTACATCCGATTTGATATTAATTTATTCGTTGATATTATATTTATTCTATATTTTAATATCTGCTGAGAATACATTAGTAGAAACATCAGTGTTCGGAGTACCGGGCAAATGTATACCGGGCATAAGCACTGAACCTTAAAAAAACATCAGTGTAGTGTATACCGGGCAATGGCACTAGATCTAGTATATATTTTGGACATTTACGAAAGCGACTATGTAATTGTTAACATTCCCTAATGGAAGCCAACAACTACCAATTTCGGTCATTCACAGTATACAAGAGAGAGGTCTCTTTTTTTAGTTCTTAGTATCTAATATGCAAAGAATTTATTTTTATACAATAGACACAATAAAATAAATAAACAATAAAAGTACTGACGGACAATTTTTAGAGAAAAATAACTCGTGATATGAAATAAACTTCAAGACAGGGGAAAAAATTAAAGAATAAAACTAGAGAAATATAAACATAATCAAAACAGCAAAGTTGATTTGACTTATTGGTTATGAATCGATTTTGTTATTAAAAGAAGAAATAGATAATTTCAAATATAGCCGTTCGATGTTTTTATTTATTTGCTTCTAAGACGACAATACAAACTATAAATAAGATAGCAGATATAAAAATAAATTACACACAGATAGTATAATATAAATCTCATCTTATTATGTTTTAAGATATCCTATTTTCTCGTAAAGTCGTATAAAAAATAGCATTCTGTTTGCGAACAATGAAATATAGATGTATTATTTAGGAAGAAATAGTAGCTAAATAATGAATGAATTCAAAGGATTCTGATTTTTAGATATCTTAAAAAAAAGTTACAGAAATTCTTTATGTTTGCCTTTTTTGCTGGATTCTTTTATTTATTTTACAACAGTACGAGTATTTTTTGGCAAGTGTTTATTTTATAAGAAGGAGGAGATATTAAACTGTGGTGATGCTTTTTTACTATAGTACTTTTTTTATTGTTTGATGCTAAAGCAAAACTCTCTATTTGACTAACTAATTTGACTGTTACAAAAATATTAGTCTAACACATGTTTAATAAAAATATTGTGTTTATATAACCATAAAAAACGTTTCTTTTTCCTTGCAGGTGGATGGGAATGATGTATAATGCATAAATATAAAAAAAAGGAGATATTAGAATACATTCATCAATGAAATTTGAGCTTAAAAATAGTTCTGAAATCAACTGATGAAAAAGGTAGTGAATTTTACAATTATTATTTAATTAGAAAATTTATTAAATTAACTGATAACATGTTTATATGTGTCTGAGTAGAGTTTTTTCTCCTGGAAATGCAATAAGTTCGCAATAATTTAGAAAAATATTTTCTTTATTTAAAACAATTTTTAGAACATCTTTTTAAAATGCTTTTTATCTATTCCATTTAATGTGTATTGTTATAGATAGAATATTCCATAACTTTAGCCCTTAATGTTTATTTTAAGAATCCTTTTCAAGCGAGTGAGTGATGTAAATTTTTGGCACAACAGCCATGATTTGGTTATACCGCTCCTAAAACAAGGTTAAAAGTTCATATAACTTAGTTAAAATTTAATCACTTGGTTAAAATTTGTATAACTTGGTTAAATTCCAAACACAAGGTTGAGTTTGAAGAAACTTGGTTAAAATCAAAACAACAAACCTAACGAGTTTAACAAAATCTACCGAACTTTAACTTTTATAGGATTAACTAATGTCATCTACACTAGATTGGCATGCATAAATGACCGAACTCTGTTTACATTTTTAATGTGCTGAGCATAATATAATGAGCTATAAATCGAAATTGCAAAGCTTCTACGTATATATGAGAAACATCAAGCCAAATTGAATATTTTACTGGTTTATTGAATAATAAGTATCTTTATTGAAAATCGTAAGAGTGCTTTAACTTGTTGCATTTGTAGCGAGTTGACAGGTAAATCATATCAATGAAATTTAACAACTTCTTTAAATAAAAATTTCAAAAATAGCAGTTTTATTTAAAAACAATGCAGTATTGATATATATTCGCATTAGACTATATCCAGCAGAAAAAGTTAAAAATTAGAAAATAATTTCAAAAAAACAAACATTTTTATAACAAATAATTTTTTTAACATTTTTTTATTTTTTAAAACATGCCTTCTTTTTCTTTCGTTAAATCTATAAATTTTGATTGGTTGGTTGATTAAAGTTCATTGGCTCAAGGACCAGATATGACTATACTGCGCCAGCCACTAGGTAAAAAAAAATTCTTTTTAAGGCAGTGAATATAATTCTATTGTTTTGACAAACGTAATAAGATTGTGATAAATAGGATCTCCGAGCAAGGATTTAAGATCAGGGAAAAAGCTGCCAAAAAGTTTGTTCCTCAAGTGCCTGAATCACTTGCAGTTGGTTGAAACATGCTTAATAGTTATGTGGACTCAACACAGAACCACTAGGTGCAGGATTAGCAGTTAGTAAATGTTTATGACCGATGAACTATACGCAAGTCTATTAATTATAACTTGGATTTTGCGATCAACGGATACTAATTGGTGGTTTTCTAGAGAGAGAAAAATTTTATGCTTTTTATTATCTATTTGTTTACTCTAATGTTCTTTACAAGCCAGCTGTATTGCAAATTTACATATTCGTTTTAAATTCAATGGATTCCTCCTTACATTTTGAGTAGTTTTAGCTACAGTATCAGTGCAGCTATTCTCGTGCATGCCAACATGAGATGGTATCCAGCAAAATTAAATATTGTATCCTTCACTGCATAATTCTGTGGAGCAAACTTTGAATTTTATATAATACTGAGCTTTTTCCCAACGTGGGAAAAGCTTGAAATGAAACAAAAAGAGTCCATATAAATAATCCACTTACGGTATGTTTTGTCAGAAATAAAATTAAGTGCTAACAAAATAGCATAACATTCTGCATTAAAACCCGAAGAGTCATGATGTAACTGTTCAGATATAGTCAAATTTTCTACGACCAAACCGTAACCAACATAATTATCGTGCTTAGATCCATCTGTAAAAATTGGTTTAAAATCAATATTATCATTACAGTGTTTATGAAATTTCTCAATAAAAACACTTGAGCCCGTGTCAGATATTTTTCAGATTATTAAAAACATTTAAAATATAAATTGAAAGATCAACCCAAGGTGGGATTGTTTCTGTATTACCAAAAACATGAAAATTTAAAATGTTAAGGTCATTTAAAATAATAATGATTCTAATTCCGAATGTAAGAAGGGCGTGAAGAGAAGTGAGTGACGCACTGTGGGTCAGTAATACTTGGGTACAGTGGGTGATTTGGACTCGATTTAATTTTAAAATAATAATCTAATGAAAGTTTAAAATAACGAAAATGAAGAGGTGACTCAGAGCACAACGTATAGAGACTTTCAACCGGTGAAGTTCTAAATCCACCAGATGAAATTCCAAGACCTTCATGATGGATGATATCGAGATATTTTTAAACAGATTGACGAGCCGGTGAATATACATGAATGCCACAGTCGAGTTTCTAGCCTATAAATGCACGATAAATTTTAATCGTTGAGTTCATATCAGCCCCCAGGAATATACATGAATGCCACAGTCGAGTTTCAAGCTTATAACTGCACGATAAATTTTAATCGTTGAGTTCATATCAGCCCCCAGGAATATACATGAATGCCACAGTCGAGTTTCGAGACTATAACTGCACGATAAATTTTTACCTTTGAGTCCATATCCGCCCCCAGGAATAGTTTGTGAGGACTTTTGGAATGTTTAACGATTGAGAGCATTTTCCCCTGATGTAATTAATATGTGGCCTAAAGGTTAATTTAGAATCACAAATCAGTCCCAGGTATTCTGTATCTTCTAAAACCGGAATGGAGTTGTTATTTAAAGAGATTTCGGGATGGGGATGAAGACCATGTTTGCAGCAAAAATGCACGCAGTTTTTTGAGATGAGAAGGTAAAACCATTTTCATTTGTCCATTTTAAAATTTTATTTACAGCATTTTTCGTTCATTGAGTGTGATATTTGTAGATTGGCCTGGAATACGAAAGTCCTCCACAAACAATTCACAATAAACTGAAACATGAAGTTGGTGTAAAATGCCGCTTATTTTCAAAATGAAAAGTGTCACACTTGAAACAATTCAGGGGAACATCCTGCTTCTGAGGGTAAATGTCAAATAAAATTGAATTACTTTTTTCCCAAAAATTCTGTTTGATAAGAAATTTTTAATAAAATGAAGCATATTACCACCAACACAGCAATTGATAAGATCCCGAAGTATTCCGTAACGCCAAGCTCTGTCATAGGCCTTTTTCATGTCAAAGAAAACTGAAACTAAATATTGATTCTTTAAAACAGCAAGGCGAATATCAGATTCTAATTTTAGTAAATTATCAACAGTGCTTCGCCCTCTGAGGAGGCCACTTTGATATTGAGTAAGTGTGGGGTTTCAAAGAAATAAACTAAACGTCGATTGACCATTTTTTCAAACATCTTACAAAGGCACTTTGTTAACGCGATAGGCCTATAACTTAAGGTCTCTTCAGGATTTCTCCTTGGCTTAAGAATGGGAACCACAAACGCTGTTGACCTGTTTTTCGGTGAAATTCTCTTCGATCCATATGCGATTATATTATTTCAGAAGCTGATTTAAAACTATATTCGGTAGATTCTGTAGCATAGAGTAATGAATTTTATCAAAACCGGGCCTTGTGCAATTGGTATTTTTTAAAACATATTGAATTTCAATAAGTGTGAAAGGTTTAATAATAATCACTGTCTGAGTTCTTCGGTATTAATTTAATTATTTTCAATATTTCTTTTTATTGTGGCGAATGGTTCTTGATAAGTAGATGCGCTAGAGACCTTAGCAAAAACCTCAGTGAGAGTATTTGCGATATCTGGATTGTGCGAAATAGTTACATTAATACTTTTGAGGATTGGGATATTATTTTGAGTGCATTTGCGTATATTGCTTTTATTTTATTACAGATAATATTCGAGGGCGTATTATATGTTATGGAATTAACATATGTTTTTAAGATATTTTTTGGACGCTTCGTCCAATTCTACGAGCTACGGAGCGATTTTTTTTTAAAAATATTATGAGGTTATCAATAGTAGGGTGTCTGTGGAAATCTTGCCACTATCATTTTTTTGATAATCGTCATTCCACCATGGTTTTGGATGCTTCGGAAATTTATATTATGATATTTTGTACTATGTTTAGCTGCTTCAATTTATTTACCCTTGAAATGTTCAACTGAACTATTACTACTAGCTTGGTTTATCGAATCTTCATCGACTTGTATGCATGATATAACTTAGTCCAATTTGTGGTATTCCTCTTAAGTCGAGAAGTTCTGGAAGTTTGATAATTATTAACGGTGGTATGAGTGAGTGTAAATGGCAAATGGTCACTATTGAAGAAATTATCATGCACATGAAATGACCAATATGGAAATTAAGATTGACTACAAATAGTTAGATCTTGGGCATGAAATGATCGCGAAGGTACGTGGAAATGAGTGCTTTCCCCTGTATTTATAACGCACAGACGATAATCATTGAGAAGTTTCTCAACTATTGAAAATCCTCTACTATTGGAGTTAGAACTTCCCCAAATAGGGCCGTTAAAATCTCCCAATGTTATAAAGGGTTATAGAAGTTGAGAGATCAAGTAATCTAAATCAACTTGAGACACGTTTTCTCGAGGAGGGAGGTAAATGTTACTAACGACAAGCAGAAATTGTGTGAAAATTTAAAAAGCAATTGCTTAAGAATGAGTGTTAATTGTTATTGTATGAGATGGATACACAGTAGAAGTCATAATCATGACTCCACGACAAGCTTTATTATTGTCTGTATTGTCTTTTCTAATTGCATTATAGCCGCTAAGTTTAGTTGTTTGATTCGGTTTTAACGAGGTTTCTTGAATACAAATGCAATATTGTGAGAATTTATTAATCATGTCAATGACGTCGGGCTTCGTAGGGTTATAGCTCTTGAAATTATAGGATATTATTTTCTAATCTAATTTTAATTTTTGATCTAATCAAATTTTTGGTTTTGTACTTTTTGGACAATGTATATTGATGTTCTTGATGATCTCTTAATTGTTTTAGTTTGTTTTTATAAAATCTGTTTTGCCTGCCTTTTCTACATAGTTGTGTTTGGAAACTAATAGAGGCTGTGTTAATTTTTGCTGTAGTATACTTACTAATTTTGAAGTCACTTTCAAGTATTTTTGTACTTCTGAAGTACTTTGTGAAGGTGTTAAGTTGGGAGCTATAGATTTTTTCAGATTTTGCGTCTGTAGATGAGATTGGGAAGATATTGTTTTTGCTTTGTTAGCTATTTGTCTTGGTGATAAGGTTTTAAGTTTTTCATTATGTAGCTCTTTTTCGTTGATATCATAATGGATAACAATAGATTTTGTGTGTTTTGTGTTAGAAACTGCATGAGAATATGAGAAATTTTGTCGGGACTGAGAAATTTATGAATTTTACTTTAGCTTCCGTATGGGATACATTTTGTGATACCCTTATGTTTAGGATTTGTTTTTCTTAATTCCATTTCGGACACTGAAAAGAATTTGCAGAATGTGATTCATTACAGTTTATACATTTTTCAGGGAGTGTACAGGTTTTTAATGTATGATTAGGTTGACTACAACACGAATATTTTTCTTTTCTTCTGCAGTTGTTAGTTGAGTGATCGAATTTCTGACACTTGAAGCAGGGTTATGGACTTGGTATATATGGTCTCATTTTGCAGTTGATATAGTCCACTCTAATGTCAGTAGGTAGCGCTGCTGAGTTAAATGTCAAGATTAAGTGTTGAATAATTATAGTGTCCTTGCCTTTTTTAATAGTTATATGACGAGCATCAATTACATCTTGATTAGACAATCATTGAACGATGTCTGTAACAGAGAGGCCTTGAAGATATTTAACAGTGATAACACCTTTAGATATATTTAGAGTATTGTGGGGAATGATAGGAATATTCTATATTTTATTTGGTTTCAGAAGAGGCATACTTTGTTTATTAGAAACTGCTTCAACTAGTAAATTGCCAGACGGTCGTACATTTTTCAGATTTTCTATTTGAGAATCTAGAAATTTTTGTACTATAATAAGGACATAATGGAGAGTTTCTTGTGTGGTGAGATAAGTGTTTGAAATCTAGATTTTGAAGCATCGAAGTTGGAACACTTAAAAGGATAAAATCTGTGTGGATATTTGTCGAAACTTGGTGAAAAGCCTGTTGAAACCATGGCAATAGATGATGCTTGCCTGAATACTCCCATGCCCACCACAGAATCCAACAAGGGGAGCAGAAACACCGACTCTGAACACCTCAGCCTCGGTGCTCTGCCCCGAGTAGTATCAGATATAATACTACACCAGAGGAGCGTAGATCCGCCAAAACTATGAGAGCTCTGGGGCACATTCCTGAGGCAGCGCTAATCTCTAACAGGTTGCAAAATTTGCCCTAACAGCTGATTGAAAAAGAGGGAGACCTAACCTTCTTCCACTCTTCTACAGTGAAGCATGGGTCAAAGAGCACGCTGCCTACAGACTCAGAGATATAATTGCCCCCTTGGGCACCACACAAGTGTTTTTATGATGATTCCATTTGATGGTTTATGATGATCGATGATTATGATTTTATGGTAAAATGGATTTTACGGATGGTGCCCGGTATTTTACAACGATTTATTTAATCCGGAACTTTTAACAGAGGCCATCTAGGACTAAGAGTAATTTTATATTTGACGGTTTATGATTAAAATCTTTTGACACAGTTTAACTATAAAAATTTTCTGAAACACACCTGAATGAAAGCTCTCAGTATTTTATAATTATACTTTTCAAAATGTAAAAATTTGAATATTTTTAAAATTTTTTTATTCGAAAAAATCACTAAAACACTCTTTTTTTAATTTTTTGCCCAATAAAAATTGCTTAAACATCAAATGTTTATCCCAATTTTTTCTCTTTAGTATTTTGCGCAGAACAAAACTATAAGAAAAGAATACGTACTGGATATCTCTCTCCTGCCTTTTTAGAATTTTTTCTAGATAATTTCTGTTGTTAGGAAGTTTTTGTTGCTATTTTTTGTTCGTTGCTAATTAGTAAAAAAAAAGAAAGTAATCCCTTACTTATTGCAATCAGATTTCCTTCTTATATTTGCATTCATTAACATAAATTGTATCCTTATTATCTTTTACTTTTGAAATAAATTCGCATTACCTCTACCAGTTTTTGATGAAATTGGTATTTTTTTTTCATGATGATTAAACATTTTTATTTCGTTTTTCGTTAAATTATTTATTTTCGCTTAAAAATACTTTTCTTTATTTTCAGAGTAATTGGATGTAGTTTAATTGGCTCGGGAGCGATATTTTGAAATAATATTTCATTTTTTAAGTGCATTTCAACTTAACATTAATAATAATTTATGTTAAAATTTCTCCTCGAAAAGAAAACGCTATAAAAGTCTATGAAAGCACTAATGATGAAGAAGGGAGGGAAAACAACTACACCAGTTAGATTGTATGATGAAATTTTTTTATTTTAGAATATTTTATTTTATAACTGGCGCTGAACAGCAGACCAAACTATGAGTTTACAACTATCAATGCCCGTAGACTTGTAATTTTGAATTAAACCCAGAAGACAAGGGAGCTCCTGCATCAAGCATTAGGACAAATCAGTTTCCGTGGAGGATTTTTTGATAAAACTAACTCGCCTTTGTGTTACATGGAGTGGAAAACCACAAAAACCTCCCACGGTTAGTCCAACGGCAAGGAGATTCTAACCCATGATTTGCCTACCACTAAGGATAGTTTTCCTCATGATTGTGGTCGGTGCGAACTCGGCGCAGAGTTCGTATTAACCAGCCAAGGCTAAAATTTGAACCAGGTCTAGGGAGGCGAACGTTCCATTCCTTGCGCAACCGTAGCTCTATGAGAACACTTGAGAGGTGTTAATAGCATCCTAATTACCTTTAAGGTTCTCTCAAATTCCCCCGGCAATCAAATAGGTTTTGATATTTTCTGCCCCACCTACCTAAGTAGTGATTATTTGGATTTTGATAAAGTTTTTGCTTTTTTCAGCGCTTAATTATTTGTTTACGACCCACAATGTTTATACTTCTTTTCCATTTTTGACAAGGGTTCTAAAATTGTATATTAAACACTAAAAGCAACGTAAACAAAATAGTTCAGAAAATGCAAAAGTAAAAAACCAACTTTTGGTAGATGTTCTGACGCTTTTAGCTAAAAGCTTAATTCAACAGTAATTTAATAAAAACTTCATTCATTTTAAGTAATATAATTGTAAAAAAAAATATATGAGATTGTTTAGTCAGAAATTTTTCATATGATGTAAATATTTAAATATCATTTATCATACGATAAAATGTGTACATTTCCTTCTGACTTTTGACATGTTAACTCACATATTAAACCTTTTAAAATTATTATTCAAAGACAAAGGTAGCATTCTTTAAATCGAAATATCGATTACGACATCACCACAATGGCCATATTCCACAACCTTAAAAATTATTCTGCCAAGTAGGTCACTTGGCACCCACCCTAAGTACCGTAGCTGTAATATATCTTAAATTTTTTTTAATAATACTAATCAAGAATTCAACTCACTATAAAGTCTCTGCAGTAACAAAATACATGAGTTTTAGAATATTTTTTTAAAAAATTGAGCCAAAATACGGAAATAACTCGTTATTCTACTTATTCAATACAATGATAGATTTTGAAATATTGCCAGAAAAAAGTCAAAAGTTGGCGCTTTTGAAGCTCGTTTTTGGAAGAAAGTCATAGTTTTCTTCATTTTCACAATATATTATATTTATCTATGTACAAAAGTATTTATCTATTTAAAAAGTATTTATTATTAAAAAGTAATTATTAAAAAAGTATGTATTTATTAAAAAGTAAAAGTATTTATCTATGTACAATATATTATATTTATCTGGTTGTTTAATTAGTTCAGTTATTTGTACATTTTCATGATTACCTCATTTAACAAAAAATAATTTATGAATACCACACTTTTAAAATATTTTTCCTCGAAACTATTGGTTTTATACAGTTCTTCATTTAAACCATTAAACAAAATTTATTTTCAATTAAGTTAGCAAAGTTATTATTATTTTTTTTGGTCAAAAATGATAGAAAATACAAAATTTATTTCATTATCCAAAATAAGTCTTATAAACAATTTACGAGTGTTTGCACAATCTGTCGTTTAATAACTTTTATAAATTCTCAGTAATTTTTTCCACTGAATAAAAATAAATAAATAAGTAAATAAAATGGAACTATTTGAATTTCTGGATGAGCACTTTAACTCCATACCGTATTGGCGAATTTTTAACTTTAGATTGAATTAAAAACACATAAGTGAAACATACCACAAAGTGAAAAATTGAATCAATGTGTTTTTGTGGTCAAACATTATTTTACAAATTTTAGAAATATTTTTAAAAACTTGAAGAAATATTCGTAAAATAATACAAATAAAATTATAATATTATTATAAGTTTGTTAAAATATATATATATAACAAAAATAAAATTATTTTACGTATAATTACAAAAAAATTATCTTACAAATAAAACTGTTTTAGTTCGAAATAAAATGGATAGATATATTTTTTGATTTCAAGAATTACTTTACAAATTTTAGAAATATTTAAAAATATTTTACAAGTAATATAATTATAATTATTATAATTAATATCATTATTAGTCTTATTAATAATTAATAACAATTATAATTATTATAATTATAATATTTAACATTTAACACATAAATTATTAAAATATACAAGTCATATAAATAATTACACATAAAATGATTTTACAATTATTTATTAGTCTGTGAGTATATAATAATAGATTTTTTTTAAACAAAACAAACTTGCAATTATAACATTCTAATTTTTTTCATTTTTTTACCAATGCAGACTCAGTTCCCCCCTACGGACAGCCTGGAAACTTCTTGAAAAAACAATTAGATCATTGCTTTCCATGAAGCTGAAACGATGGATAGAAGTGAAGAAAACGTTGAGCAAGACTATTTTCAGACAAATGAAACTGGCTACCGAAGCCGATCACCAACCAGAATTCCCTACTTCATTCCTAGACGACCTAAAGTGGTCAAGATGCGAGACCTCAGTCCAGATACAAGAAACCAGCTGACACAGGAATACTTCGAAGCTTATGATCCATGGACTGGTATACGTATAGCTGCCACGCTCGGTATTTTAATTAGTCTTTTTACTTTGTTCCTAATTTACAAAAGTAAATTCAATAGGAGCAAGGCGACGCTCCTACCAGCCAAGAAAACGTCTTTATATCTCTATGACGACGATTTTGTAGACTGTGACCTTGGAAGTCTAGGATCAAGTTGCCGTTCCAGCATGTTGGGAATGGAATTTCCATATAAGCACAGTGTCATAGACCGTGCTGGTTTTAACTTCGAAGATGCATTCCAGCTTGAAGAAGTACTTGTTAAGTCTTCTGCTGGCGAATGCGTGGCGCTAAAGGTCCATCCACCTGGTAGAAAGAGCTCCAAATGTGGGCCAAAATTTGGCACTCTTCGTATTACTGAAGATACTCCTAGAAGCCTTCCTTGCTCGCCTTACAAACCACAGCAGAAGGTTTCTGAAGACACAGATGTGAAAGCGCTGCAGTCGCCAACTGGCACTATATCTTCCGACCCAACGTCTTTAACTGGTAGTATAACTTCTTTCGGTTTCTCTGACTCAAGTGAAGTAGCCAAGAAATCCAGTAAAAAGAGTACCAATTCCAAAAATATTAAAAAATCTTCAAAGAGATCTTCCTATCCAGTGGTGGAATTGGGAAAATCGTGTCCAAAATCGATGGTTGTGACTACTAAAAAGCCACAAGACTATCGAAGTAGGAGTACTATTGTATCAATTGCTCGACGACAGAGGAATTCTTGAAAACAACTTTATGTATACAACTAATTGTTGAGTTAAGATCACCAAAATGCTTCAATGGATTACATTTTCCATTTATTTAATGATGATTTTCTTGAAAATGAATCGATTATCGAATAAATGAAGGGCGACTTTCTAAAAACAACAGGTATCAGTAACAGAAAAAGCCTTCGTAAAAGTAATCCTAAACCTCATTGTCATTTTAGGAATAACCAATCGAAAGAAACGAATATGACTACAAGCAGTTTTAGAGTTTTTATAAAAAAAGAACTATTTTGTTTTATACCTTTTTAATTTGGTATCTTTATATTTATTTTCCAGTTTAAATTCAATTTTATTTTTTGTAAACTTTTTGCAAGACTCATTTCTACCCAATACACGATCTTGATGTTAGTATTTGTACATATTTTGTGGGAACCTGGCCCTAACTGCTAATCAGGGATACTCTTTTGTAGATGTAGGATAACTGCATCTCAAAAATTATGTAATATGAATTACATAATGAAAGTGAACTATCAATATTGATATTGACTATCATTATCCATTAAATAATGTGATAAATTTATGATTTTACATATACCACTATCATTTTAATTTACTGATTCTATCTTTAAATGTAGTTGCAATAATATGTGTCCCATAAAATCAACGTTGTTCGTTTTAAAACAAAAAAAATATTTTTAATAATTTTTTTCAAATTGAATATTATATGTAGAGAGTGTACCAAGCTTAACTCTAAATTTAAACTTTTCACCAATCGTACTATTAAATGTTGCCAACGAAAAAAAAGTCATACTTCAGGGTTATTAAAAATGAAACTAAAATGAAATAACGGCCTTTTATTACTGAACAATATTTTTATAGTTTTTGTGTTGTTTTACTGACATGTAGTTTAAGGTTGTGATAACTAGAATTGGCCACCCAGATCATGTGATTTAACGCAAATAGATTTCCTTTTGGATGTCTAAGATTCAGAGAAACATGCCCACATTAATGTTGGATGAAGTTGAATGCTTTATCAACGAAATCCATTATCATATATGGAACACGGTTATTGAAAATTTCGCCAAAAGCGTACTTACGTTACAAAATATTACCCCTTTTCCATGACATTCTGTCTCATTCATAATCGTATGCTGGAAAGCAATCGAAATCAACAAAAATTCAAAAAAAAATTAAGTAAGAACTTTTTTCTACTCCGGAATTAGGGCATATTTAGATCGATTGGAATGTGACTCGTATAGATAATCTAGTTGTGAGAGTAGAAAAAGACATTTTTTAACACTATGCGTAGTTGCTTTTATTTTAACTTGCTCAAATCAATTTAATTATAAATTTAAATATTGTATTTGAAAAGCTTTAAGACAATGAAGAAAATATAGATATTTTAAATTTATCTTAGATTGTGCAGGAAGTAATTTTTTATCACCGAAACTTTCATAGATGAAACATTATTCTATTCTCATTATACCATACTATTAATATTTAAATAATAATATGTATGTGGAAGTTCCTTATTAAGTGCTAAAGAGTGCATTGATTTAGAAAAAAGTATTTAAAGACATTTCTCAATTTAATAACATTTTTGTACAAATATTAATATATATTCGAGTTCATAATATTCTTTTCCAGTTTTAAAATTTTTTAAGAAGTCGAAAAATTCAATGAAAATGAACTTAGATATCTCAAACTTTTTATTGAGTTATAATTAATTCAGAATTTTAAAAAAAACATTCTATAACAACAAAATTACAGTAAATTAAGTATGAATTAATTTTACAGCTTGCTATTTTTTGCTCATTTTATTTATTTTATGCCAGATATAAGACATCCGATTGTTATTTGATAGCAAAATATATTTCATCAATAAAATTTTTGAAGGCTTCTTCTTAGCTCCTCTATTTAATATATAAATAGAAATTTAGTAAAATATTTGGTGGCCTGAAAAATATTGAACCTTTGAGAGCACAGGTTTTGTTGACACTTAAAAATGAAAGTAGGAAACCAAGTATATCTGTTTAATAATCGACTGTCGTTATTCTAGCAACACCATAATCCCCTCTCTATAGAAATTTTATGGCTTATAGTCAAATAATTATAGAGGAAAGTTACGATTACATTGTTTATCTATATTTTTTACATGTATCACATTGCTTTACGGTAAGAAAATTACTTTCTTGCTAAATATATTTCATTATGAAGGAATGAATTCTTTTTGCGCAATACATTTGTTATGAAGGCAAAACATTTCTTTATTACTATTCTATGTAATTATTAAAACTATTAAGATCTATTTTATGCAAAATTTTAATCCTTGCACTTAAATCAAAAATTACTTCGCACTTAAAAATGAAATTATGAAACCATATAATCGCTTGTCGATTTTTCAGCAACACCATAATCTCACTTCTATGTAACTGCTTCGACTTTTAGTAAAACTATTATAAAAGGAAAGTTATTATTACAATGCTTATCAAAATTTTCTTGTATGCATCATATTGCTTTACTGTTAAAAATGTATCTTCATGCTAAATAGATTTAATTATAATAGAAAAATTTTCTTTTGTGCAATACATTTGTTATGGATGCAAAATATTTCCTTAAACTATTACTATTGCATAAAACCACTACTAAAACAAAAACTTCGAAATAAACAGGACTTCTAATAGGTTTAAATAAACAGGACTTTTAGTAGGTAAATGAAATTAAATGAAAAATAGTTTTATTTTTAAACTTTAATCTCTTAATCAATTTTAAACATGTCTGTTTGTTAAGAAAGCAAATTTCTTGAAGCAAACAATTAATTTTTTTTAACTGTAATGTATGTTTGTTAAATTATCTTTTTGATAAAAGTAAAAAATTATGCGTTTCTGACATTTAACTTAATTAAGAGCGAAAAATTAATTTAAACTTCTCCTAAAAGTTTTACCTTTTATATTTGTTTATTCAAGTAATACCAGCAGGTCATGCGTTAATTACAAATGCAATACAAAAATGGCATTTGCAAAATCTACTTCCTCGGGCGAAAGTTTAAGTAAATATTTTAATGAACAAGTAAGAGAAAAAATATGATAAATCTAAATGAAACCTAATCTGATGTCACACAAAAATTGTCACACTTTTAGAATAATTCTTAAATGACGTCTCAACATTTTGCTCCAAAAATGCCTTAAGCTATTAAAACTTTCTCGAATATGATAAATTATACTAAATTAATAATCAAAATAACACTTGATTCATCATATGGAATAATGCATGAAGAGAAACGATTAAAAAAAAACAACTATATTAGAATTCTAAAACTTAAAAATTTATTCCTGGAAACTTCTGATACAGATGTCAAGCGAGAAATCAGTCGCGAATATTACTGATCATTTAAATTTGTTAAACTTTTTTGTATTTTAAATTAAAATTTTTTGATCTCTAATTAAAAATACAAAAGAAAATTAGTATTTGGCACCGAAATCAATTCTACTGAAGGTTTTAATTTAATTAAATGATTAAATTAATTAGCTGAGATGCGCTTCAGAATAAGTATTTATTTTGAACTTGAATTTAGAAGAAATCTCTTGCTTACAAAAAACCCGTTATCGCCGTAACTCTCGAAAATAGTTTCATTTGTTCATTCAAAAAATACATCTGTTAGAATAATTTAACTACCCGAATTAAATTTTATAAAAAAAACGTAAATCTGAAAAAATATTTAAAAATACCATAGTTGATTGTTAGACGTATTATAACAAAATTGATAATAAGCATTAAAATAAGCAAAAAATATGCATAAGCTCATAATTTTATATAATTTTATTTTGCGAAAAAAAAAGCTTTTTGACAACAATTTTTATCAAAAAATTTTGAGTTTCAATGAAAATCATCATTCCAAAACTAAAAAACGTAAAATAAAAAATGCTTACGAAACAAAGAAAAACGATTCTAAAAATACCTTACCTTAAAATAAAAAACGCTCATGTTTTTTTTTATATTCATAATCGGACGTAAAAAACCATTCTTTAGAAAATTATCATCAAATAAGAAAAAAAAAATTATTTTCAAGTAAAATTTTTTATTATAAAAATTATAACACTTACCTGCTTTATAAATCCGGAGAAATCCAAAATCATATGTTCTTCATTTGAAAACTTTATTCTCAAATAATATATAAATAGATCATCCCTTCATTACTTTGAGATGACATACCACACAATAAAGTTTTATAATTTCAGGATCTCGACATGAATTTCAATATATAACTTAAAAACAGAATAGCTTATTTCTAGTTGAAATTTATCATTCAAAATTAAAAAATACTTACCAAGAAAACGGTAAAAATTTATTAATAATCAGCATAAATGATATTATTTCAAGTAATTCGGATGATTCTTTATTGCTGTTTACCGAATTATATAGATTCAAAAATACACACTATTCTATAACTATTACAGTCCTGCACGTTCTGTAATCATATTTATTCATTGGATTAAACTAAGCAATGTTGACTTCACTTTAATTTGTAATGAATTGAAGAACAAAAATGTATTTTACCATATTACACACATCTGTAACAGTATGCGATCACAAAATCAGAAGTTATCTGTTGCAAGCTTATTAATAATAGAAAGGTAAAAATTATTGAGAAATTGTTCTTCAAATGTTTGGCATGTTCTGTTTCAAAAAGATTTACCTATGTCCTGGTTAGTTTTTTCAAGTTCTTCTGCCTTTTCCATAGGGAAATTTTGTTTCTTATTTGCTCCTAAGAAAATGGCGTCCAAATCTGCCAATGATTATGATAGAACTAAATGAGAACTTAATAAATAAATGCCTGATATTTTCAGGCTCCGCTAGAGGGTGTACTCAGGCGTTGCGATTGCGAATTGTTAGATCATAGAAAAAGATTTTTTCAATACGTGGATGAATGGCAACTCTGTCCCAAACTGTTTCAGCGCCACGCTACGTCAAAAAGCTTAACTTCTAGTTAGATTGATGAATTTATCGTTTTATTTTATTATTTTTGATTAAATGTATGAAGTTCTTTGCAATCATTTTGTCATTAGTTTTATCTTAATTTTATGAAGTGTTTACATGTTAATTCGTTCGGGATGCCATGTGTTAATGGAGACGAAATTACATTTTGCGAAGTAAATTACGAGTTATTTTAAATACTCTAATCTCTCACCATCTTTTTACGTTCTTAAATTTATTTTAATACTTAATAGATTGCATATTTATATGACAGACAATCATCATTTCTCCTTTTAAACTGAAGAATGAATTCCAAAAAGCGTTATTAATGTAGTTTTCCTCATTTATAGAAGTAAAATCCGTTTATAGAAGAATTTATTCTATGACAGAGAAATAAACAAAAGTAAATAAAAAAATTTATACATATAATGGAGCTAAAATCTCAAACAAAAGTTTTGAACCTGATTCAAAAATTTTATGTTTCTACATAAATGCACATTGTGAAATAATTTCTAAACACTAAGAAAAATTTATGCATTCAAATCTTTATTCAGTAATTTTTATTGGAATGAAGAAAAAAAACTTTACTTTAAAGCTAATCACATTCATGGAAGCATTTTATTCTTTCATGTGACAAAGGTAATCATCGTTCCTGATAAAATCATTCAGAAAAAAAAAACGGAACTATGAAAGAGACATTTAAGTACAATAGTAGACTGTAAACTATATAAATCTTCTGTATCAAGTAACCATTTCCTTCAAGTGCTGCAAGAGGATACATTTTTCGATGCTTATTTTAAATGAATTTTTAATTCGATAAAGAAGTTACGACCAAAAATACTGCGTAAAAAATATTTCTCATGAAATACCGAAAATTTCTTACCAAAATGTTTTACTGAACACAAAATCGTTGTTACAGAAAAAAAGGGTTTAAAAAAAAAACAGGAATATTTTCCCTTCTTAAACCGATTTAAATTTTCCAGGTCTTTACGCACGGTAACGAGTTAAGAAAGTTTTAACGATTTCGGAGGCACACCATTGCCTTCATGTCACAGAATTTGCCCACCATTATGGCTTCGCACCAGGCCCTAACACCTAACCCTTGAATTATATAGGGTTATTAAGATTCTTTTAAATCATTTTTTACGCCTTTAATTTCATAAACATTTCGCCTACAAAGATGAAGATCAACATTTTGTTTGTTCAACACACGTGTGTCCTACATAAAAGTTTCTAATTTAATACGAAATTATCAAAATGATTTTTACATAAACATGTACATTATAATCTTTACTTGTACAATTAAGTAAATAATTTATGAGATAAACATAATTTAAAAATCTGTCGTACTTTAGATAAAGCTTTTTAGCAACTATGTATTTGTTGAAAAATATAAAAGAAATGAAGAAAGTTTTAAAAATAGTTTTAAACTCCCAATAAAATAAACCTAAGACCTAACAACTGATATTATTGGAAATTTGAGCTGTATTATAATAGTTTTCAAGAAAATTCAGGTGGCCTTAAGTCATTGCGGAACGGTAAGTATAAACCATAATTTCAGGAACAAACTGACACAGTGTTTGCTTAATTCACAAAGCAAAAGACGCCATAATTAACTTGTTAAAAAGAAATTCATTATTTTATAACGAGAAAATTGAAGGGAAAAAAAAGATATCAATAATCTGCAACTTAGAAATTTATTTTAGGAAAATGTCACCCCCGATAATCTGTCAGGCGCGAAATAAAAGATGTATTTTGGTGAAGGAACTCCCTGGAGTGCTAATTAAAAGCGATACGTGCCTTTGTTAACTTTTTGGGCTTTTCAAATTAAAATTTATTGACTTCTCCGTAGTAAGCAAAATACAAAAGGAAAAAGTATAGAAAAGTGTCTCCGCATACAAATGTAATTTAATTAAAAGACGGGTCGGCTAAAATATATTTTCTATTCTTTCTTTATTCTAAATTCTATCTTTGTGAAGGAAAAAAAATCGTTTGCTTTATCTGTTATTTGAAGAGCAGACGAAAAAGCATAAAAGAACTCTTAAGATTGTGGCAAACTAGTTTTTCATTTCGCAAATGGCATGTCTCTGACTCTTGAAAAGAAATTCATTTTTCCTGTCGGAATATTAGCTTGATCGACTGAATAAACCGTTTGCTTTTGTATCATACTAAAGAGAAATTTTTTTCATTATTTTTTATAAACAAGCGAATTTATATTGCGTGTTAAAAATTTGTTTATCGTTGTACTTTAAATCAACCATTTTCTTGCTAGTCAAATATTTTAATAATAATAATAATAATAATGTTGCAAAATAAACATAAAGCAATAATTTAAGAGTAGTTCAATTCAAAATGTGAGGAGCAAGTTTTTACCGTCGCAAATGGGATAAAATTTTTTAAAAAAATTAATTCTTATAAGAGACTTAACTGATCGAATGTATCGTCTGTATTAGGATATAGGAAAATACATAGTCGTTTGGGTCATTTTTTTATAACACACTCTCCTTA